AGTAACTGTGTTTACTGTTTTGAGGAATAGCTATACTGTTTTTCACAGTGGCTGCACCATTTCACATTCCCACATAATTATTTCTTTCTTACGTACCTTCTTCTACTGGATAGAGCAGAGAGCGGTTACTTTTTCATCTCTAAATTCCTAGCTCTGGGAATAGTGTTTAGTTCATAATAGAACCCTCTGCAATAAATTGGAAAAAGGGCTGCAATTTATATGCTATTGCCCCTTATTTGGTATCTCAGTACATGGCACATAGAAAATAGGCAGTAAGAAAGTGTTGAAGGAACTAATAAGTAAATGAATGAATGAATGAATGCAGTTACTATTGCTTTTTCCTTAGCCTATGACTGAGGACAGACACTTTTGTAAATTAAGCTATTCAGTTAAATATAGACACTTCCCTGGCCACTGTCGCTCATGCAGAAGTTTCACTTATATGCCACCTCAAAGATATTGTTTCCTATAAGATCATATCATACTTGTGATGAGAGTGATATAAGGATGTCTCCTAGAGTCTTCTGCTGCCTAATTTATAGTGCACATTTTAATTGGACCACTTTGTGATATGTTAGATGTTGGATGCACGAGATCTGTTCCAGAACACAGGGCTCTTTCATGGGGATGGTGTGGTTCCATCATCAAATTGTAGGCATGTCCTCTGCAGGAACTGGTCTTCCTATCCAACCACTGGTTGAAAGATTGGCTGGTGGTCAACTCTTGGAAAATTCAAATTATTACTTGGGCAGATGCTTTTTTGATATTTCTTAACTAATTTACCTTGAAAAGTTCCCCAGGAAGTTGAATTGCCTAAATTTATACATCGTATGGGCACTGAAATGCAACTTTTAGGGCTGTGGTGCGTGTTAGCAATGCCTGCTTTCAACACACCGTAGCTGTGCTTAGTATCTTGGACCTTGCAGGGCTGACTTTCTCTCTTGCTCAAGCATTTGAAGCCAACTTAAAACTCTCCTCCGAAAAAAGAAAATGGTTTCTCTGCTAGTAAGTTTCCATCAATTCCAGCAGAGGCTGCTGTTTAGGTTCCATGATTTTGAGAAGCACATGCCAGCCTTGCTCTGTTCTGTGCTTGGTCACCATATAAGGCATTGGCCTTACTCACCATCAGGGACTGGCTACTTCAGATGCTGGAGTTGGATTTGACCCTGACTTCTGGCTGGCCCATCCTCATCAGGAGCTCAAGCAGGAGGAGGAGTACTCTGGGGGAAAGTCTGAGGACATTAGATCATACATGTGCTTGGCTGCATGCAACTAAATCCAGGCTACAGCAGCTTATGCAAATAGGCTTAACCACACAACATGTACCAAATGATATCAGTGTCCAGTGACCCTTCCATCTTCCACACCGCTGATTTCCTGATTCAAGGTCAAACCAAAACACAAGCAGACTTGGACCAAGTCCAAGTCACCATTCTCATCTAGTCTTGAAACTGGACCACATTCCATGATCTCGCCTTATGAAATGGTCAACTGGGCAGCTGGGATATAGGGTCTGGAACCAGGAAGAGGGGTATCTTGGTGTATGTCTGGTGCTATAACAAGACACCTTAGACTGGCTAATTTATAAATAATAGAAATTTATTTCTCACAGTTCTAGAGGCTGAGAAATCCAAGATCAAGGTGCCAGCAGATTCTGTGCCTGGTAAGGGCTTGCCCTCTGCTTCCAAGATGGCACTTTGTTGCTGCATCCTCCAGGGGGGATAAATGCTGTGTCCTTATATGGCAGAAGAGATGAAGGGTAAAAGGGCCAAGAAGCTCTCTGAACCTCTTTTGTAAGGCTACTGACTCCCATGGCTTAATTACTTCTCAAAAGGCTCCACCTCTTAATACCACCACAATGAGAATTAACCTCGTGAATTTTGGAAGGGACACAAACATTCAAACAATGGCAAGAGGCCTGGGCTAGAGGTCATCTCTGTAAGGTAGGTGAGTATCCTCTGCCAAAAAGAGAGGGAAGAGATGAAGAATCTGAAGTTGAGAAGAGAGAGGAGGGTTTGATCTCATTGTTACATTGAGAAGAAGAGGGGGTTGAGCATGGTGGGCATGACGAGGGCTCAAGTGAAGCAGGTGATTGCAGATTTCTCTGTCCTATACTCGGCTCCAGTGGTGTTCAGAGCTCAGGCACATGCTCAGTGAGAGTGGAGAGTTTATCCAGTTCTGCCTGACAACTGCAGTGGAAAGGCACAGGGGAGGGTACTGAGCATATTGGCAAGAGTGACTTTGGAGTGATTGGCCCTGGAGTGTAAGCTGGAGAGGGAGTAAAGGGAAGAGAGGCTGGGGGATTGGGAGGTGTGGACTGAGAGACCTTGTGAGGTAGGGGCATTTGGAAGGCCAGGAAGCTGTGGTCAGAGGTGGATGTTCAAGTGACAGAAGGTGGAACAGCTAGGGGTGGTGTCAAGGTCTAGAGTGTGACTACAAGAGTGGGTGGTTGTGGCAGCATGCAGAAGGTTACCAAGGGAGGAAACTGAGGAGCCTAGAGCCCAGTGTGGGGCATGGGGTGCTGACCACATGTGTATCTGTTAGGGGTTGAGTTTGGCTGCAGGTAACACACAACCCAAATAGCAATGGCTTAAACACGAGTATAGTTTCCTCTCATATGGTGAAAAGTCCAGAGGCACACAGCTTAGGGCTGGCATGGTGACTCCAAGATGTCACCAGATGTTCCCTGGGGGTATAGTGCTCTTCCTCATGCTTGGTAGCTGGCTGCTGGAATTCCAGCTATCACATGCAAATTCTAGGCAGGAGCCAGGAGGAAGCGACACAGTGAAAAAGGATGTGCAGCCGCTGAGGGAAGCTTCTTAAATGAACTTTCCTAGGACTCCAGCTAGTAGCTTCCTCTTAAATCGAAGTGGCCAGAACTGTGACACATGACCACTCCTAGGGGGGAAAAGAGGCTGAGAAATGTAGAATGTTATTGCCACCTTGAATTAAAAAAGGAGTTTTGTTAGTAAGTACAGAACGCTCAGAGGAGAGGCTGCAGACCCAGGTTAAGGAGCAGCAGCTCCCAAAGGCACAGTGGGAAGGTTGCAAGACTGAGGAGGGTCTGGGATTTGGGTTGGGGAAGGCGGTGCAGAGGGCTGTGGGGGAGTGCTGTGGAGCAGAAAGCTGAAGGCAGGGAAATGCAAGACTTTAATGGGACTGATGAACACTGGATGAAGGGCAAGAGGAATTCAGACTCAGGGGCCAGATTAAGACCTCTAGTGGGTCTGTGTCTCCTCCCTGTGTGACCACTTCTAAGTTCTGCTTTTTATTGTCGAGACGGAAAGTCTGCAACCCACATTCTCTGACTCCCTTATGTTTTCTTTTCTTTTTCTAAAAAACTTTTTTTAGTGTTCTTGCACCAGAATCACCTTACATTTTCTTAGGATTCCTGCTTGTTTCTGCCAAAAATAGGCCCTGGCAGGAAATGAGATGGCAAGGGGCAGAGATAAGAGCCTAGGGCAGCAGGTGCTGAAAGTCACTGGCATGGCAATGGGGAAAGGGCCCTGGCCAAGGTGGCACCACTTTGGCACATCCAGAGCCACCTGTGACAACTGTGACAGTGTCTTCAATAGTGCAGCAGTAGGCACAGTCCTCTGGGGCAGAAATCCAACCCAGGGACAGGAGTACCATATATTGGCTGAACACCATCCTGTCTTCAATCTACTTCTCCAGTTGGTCTTTCTCCCTCTTACTCTTTCTACCCTTCTCAACTGTTGTAATTAATACTCTGCATTAAATTCTCTCTGAAATACCTAGAGTGGCATCCCTTATCCTGACTGGATCCTGACCTGGTATATTTCCTTACATACAGTATTATATAAAAAGAACACTAAACCTTAAAAAAATTTGGTGTATATTCTTCCAGACTTTTCTCCTTGATTTTATGTACATTTATCTGAGTCCATAAAATAATTGTAATGTTTGTGTGTGTTTATATACATATATTATTTTGTGTGCATCATTCTGCAACTTTTAAATTTGATAATTGATCTTGGAGATCTGTCCATGTCGTCACATATAAGAGATTTTTGCATTTCTTTTAAATGATGCCTGGTGTTCTAGTAGCCATGAATCTAATAACAAACATTCAGGTTCTTACAGTTTTTTGGTCTTAATACGGTGCCATGATGAACATTCTTGTACATGTGCCAGTGTTTCTCTGGGGTCGCTAACCAGAATGGAATTACAGAGTTGTAGACTGTGTGCATTTTACATTTACCACAGTTTGCCCAATTGTTTGTCAAAGTGGCTGTGCCAATTTATACTCCCACCCAAGGGCAGGAGAGTGTCCTCCCCAGTATGTGATATTTCCAAGCTTTAGTTTTGGTCATCCTGGGGGTGGAATTGTAGCTTGCCATTGTTTTAGTTTTCCTGTCTCTAGGGACTAATTTTAGCATTTGAGCATCACCTGACAAGTTGATGATGACTACTTCAGGCTGATTTGTTCTCGTGAGGCTGCGTGGACCATACTGCGTGGTTTTCAGGGGCAGGCCTTTGGGATGGCTCTTTTTGCCAAAAAGCTGCACTTAAGAAGCTCACACCAATTTCTTGTGCTGCCAGAAAATGCTGCTGAGCCTTCAGCTGCCCAAGGCTGTTGATCTGCATGCAATCGGGGAGAAACAAAGCCCCAAGCCTGGCCCAGAGTGGGACCTGTGCAGATGCTCCCAGCAACTGCAGGAGCCAAGCACCGAGTGGCAGCAAGATCCCATGGAGGGCCACAGCCTTGGGGTTCGTTAAACTTCATGGGAGCTGGACAGTGCTCTGCATTCTTTCTGACCATAAGTCATCTTGTGATGAAATTTAGATTCTGAGGTGTCCAGCACAGTCCAGTAGGGAACTATAACCTTCCTGCTTTGAGAAAACAGAAATGGGCAGACAGGGAAAGGAGGGGAAGGAAACCTGAGATGTCATGGTTACACTTTGGTTAATTCTGTTTTATTTTTTGTTTTCTACAAGATGCTCTTCAGGAAACCAAAGGAATCACCTTTCCTGCTGACCTTAGTGATATTCTGGTGGGAAAAGAATCAATTCACTCTGTTTCTGGCAGACTTAGGTTCAAGTTCAGGCTTTGACACACTGTGCCCCAGTTTTCTAACCTGTAATACCCCATCCTGCTTCCTTCAGAGGACTCCTGCTGTTAGCAGTGAACAGCACCAAGTCCAATGTCAGGGCCACCACTTCCAGCCTTTGCTCTAACAGAAACGCGCAGGGTAACTTAAGTAAGCTCCTTGAGCTCTCTCTTCCTTACTTTTCCAATCTGTGAGAGGGCTCGGGCATGCCTGTTCCACTGGCTTCTTAAGATGAAGACCACCGAAGGTGTAGGGGTTTGGATAAACATCTCGGATATAGCTATCAAGCGTAAACCCAGGTGTGCTGGCAAGTGGACCGGGAATCTTTCCAGCCACAAACAACCAAAACTTTAGATGCAGAGAGAATATGCTTTTTTGGATAAAAACGCTTGGCCAGGACGAATTCTGGCCTGTCTTCCTGGGAAATTGGACAGCAGGCTGAGAGAGGATTTCCAAAATGAGGACAAGCTCTAAAGACCAGCCCAGCGTCCACCTGGCTCTTGCAGGATCTCGCGGCTCGAGTGGGCTCCCGAACGCCACCTGTTGTCGCGTCCCCGCTACTGCCCAGAAACCACGTGTAAGAAAATGCTTACAACCTAACTACGTACTTCGGTTTCGACCCATCCTAACCAATAGGGAAGGAGGAGGCGGAGCAGAGGAAAGCGAGAGTCCAATCACCTTCTGCTTTCCGAGGGGAAGGCGGGGCTTGGGGTTTACCACGTTGGGTTTGTCCGCAGCGCTAATTACTTTTTCCAAAGGCTGGAGGGCTGCACTCCGGCTGGCGCCGCCGCCTCGCGCGCTCCTGCTCCCCGCCACGGTCCTGGGGGCTGCTCGTCCCGAGTACCATGTGTGACGGCGCCCTGCTGCCTCCTCTCATCCTGCCCTTGCTGCTGCTGCTGGTTTGGGGACTGGACCCGGGCGCAGGTATTGCCCCCTCTCCCACCCCCCTTCTTCGCCCCTGCCTCTCGCGTCCACTTTCCTTCTGCCCTCTCGAGGCATCCCAGCGGCGGATCGCTGACAGCGCCCCAGGCGGAGAGGCGCGGGCCGCGCCGGGAGGACGGGGCTCGGGTGGCTCCGTGGCAGGAGCGCCGCCGCCGGTTCTCCGCTTGCAGATGCCGCGGCGCCGATTTCAGAGCGATCTGGCGTCCGCGCCGGAGACCTTCCCCAGGTGGCGCGGGCCAGGCACAGGCGCTGGCGGGCATGGAGGTGCAGGGGCGAGGGGTGGGAAGGAAGTGCCTGCTCCGGGCCACTCCGTCCCCGAGCTGGCCGGGCTAACCCAGGGCTGGACCCCGCGCCGCCGGCAGGCTGGCGGGCCCTGCAGCGCTGACGCGTCTCCTCTCTCTCTGCAGCTGTCGGCGACGCGGCGGCCGACGTGGAGGTGGTGCTCCCGTGGCGGGTGCGCCCAGACGACGTGCACCTGCCGCCGCTGCCCGGAGTCCCCGGGCCCCGACGGCGACGGCGCCCCCGCGCGCCACCCGCATCCCCGCGCACCCGGCCGGGAGAGCGCGCCCTGCTGCTGCACCTGCCGGCCTTCGGGCGCGACCTGTACCTGCAGCTGCGCCGCGACCTGCGCTTTCTGTCCAGAGGCTTCGAGGTGGAGGAAGCGGGCGCAGCCGGGCGACGCGGACGTCCCTCCGATCTGTGCTTCTACTCGGGACGCGTGCTGGGCCACCCGGACTCCCTGGTCTCGCTCAGCGCTTGCGGCGCCGCCGGCGGCCTGGTACTGCCCGCGCCCCCTCTGGGTCTGCCTGTCTGGTCTGTTGCGGCGCCCGGGTGGTCCCCGTGGAGGGTTGGGGTGGGGAGCGTCGGCAGAAGTCCAGCCTCCTGGAGGGGCCGGAGGGAACCCTCTACCTCCCCACCTCCCCGACTTTCTGGATGGTCTATGAGTAAAGGGGGTGGGATGAGAAGCATCGGAGTCCAGCGCTTCCCACAAGCTGAGCTGAGCCGGTGCGGAGCCTGCGGGAGCCGGGGTTGCCTTGGGGCGCACGCTGCAGCGGCTCAGGAGAGCGCTGATGTAGCCGGGATGGGACAGTCAGGGCTCTAGGCGCACAGAGGTGTAGCAAGAACACTGCATCTGCACAGGTGCGTGTGTGTCAGGGGAACACACCTATACGTGTATATCTTATCTGTTCTTAGATGGGGAGTGGGCATTCACCTTCCTTTTGCGTCTTCTTTCTGTACCTGTAAAGGAAGTTTGGAGGGTTCCCAGACAGACACAGCCCCTTTCTTCTTAGTTGAAACGAGTCAGAGAGGATGTTGCTCCTTCTTTCCTTGTACCATTAGCAGGCATGTGTCTGGCACCCGCCCCAGCCAGGCCTGAGGGGTGCTTACATGGGTAAGACCCTATTCCCCAGAAGCTTGCTTACTGTGGAAGCAGCTTCCCCATTCCAAGACCCTGCCCTGCTGCATTTGGGTCACCTGTGACAGGTACTCTAAGAGGCATGAGAGTTCTTGTGCACCTTTGCCTTGCTGTGCTCACACTTGGTCACATGGCTACACTGGTGCCCAGAAGAGCACTCCTCAGCCTCTCCATCATGCCCCCACCCTGGGGGCGCACATGGCGGACAGATGGGCTTCCCCGGCAAAGTCTGGTGTTGACTTAGAGTGTGAAACACATGGGTTGTTTCTCTATCTTTTGTTATGACCAGCCTCTGCAGAGGCAGTTTATAATATTATTTTGTGTGTGTCCTTCCCAGGCACAAGAAACTGCTACCCCACCTCATTTTGTGCTGTCCTCTTGGGTTCTCTGTCCCTTACGCACATGGTCTGCAGCAAGTCACTGAGGATCTGCAGCAAAGCCAGAAAGCCTGGGTGTCAAAGTGCTGTCTTCCTGGCACTGTGGGGTAACCATGGGTGTCATTTCCTGGGATCAGCCTAGTTCTCCTTTTAGGATTTTTCTGAGTTCTCATTAGATCATTGTGATCCTCATTTGCTCAGCTGGGAGAAATTGGCAGTTTTTGCAAAACAAGGAAAGTGGAACGGGCCTGTGGAGGGGCCGGTAGGGCAAATGTGGTCTGTGGGTGAGTAGGCTTGAGTAGGAGTGAGAAAGGCTCCGATCCCTGCAGGGCTTGGGTCAAGGCTGTATCATGTTCTGGGAGGGACTGGAAGGCCCACATCATTTTTCCTGTTTTTGCCAAAGCGCTTAAAGTCTAGGTCACATCACTGTACTGTACGTGGAAACATCTGAATCCCATTTGCTGCGGTTTAGTGAGTTTCTGTGGAGGTCAGAGTTTATACTTCGTGGTGTAAAGTTTCCAGCGAGGAGCTATCTGTGAAGGAGCGGAGGGTGGAAATCTGCATAACGTTGGTTTAAAATCCTCACTGAGGGAGTGCTGGGCCCTCTCACAGATGGCATCCGAGCCAGCTTTTCGGCAAGGCTGCCCTTCCCTTCGGCACCATGTGAGGGCGCTGTGCTTTAGAAAAAGGAACCCGGCCAAGAGGCTGGTTAAGCCTGTGCCAGTGGTGGGTGGACCTCTAAGACTAGCTTTTAAATTCCTGCTTGAGCAGACACTTCTGTTTAGTCTGCCTTGTTCATCCCGCTCATGTGAATTGTACACTGGGCACTTCCCCCCAAGTACACACATAGAGGACTGAAGGCAGGAGGGCAGGGATGGTGGGTGGCTTGGAGTGGGCCTCTTGGTCGCCAGGTGGTCCTGAAAGCTTAAAAGCAAGCAAGCAACAGGAACTTACACTAACCAAGTGTGCGGGGCATTGTGCTTCGTTTTTGCATTTTGGTTTTCAATTCCGGTATGTTGTGTTGGTCTCTCCTGACCATGGTAGAAGCGCTGCCAGGCGGAGGTGTGGAGCTGTGTGTGTGTTTGCAGGACGGGCTCAACTGCAAGGCGTGGGAATGTCAAGTAGATGATTTTTGGTGGCTGTGGATGGGGGTATTTCAAAGCCTCCTGGCATCTATAAATATCATTTAAAAAAATCATGTGGCACGGGAGTTGGCAAACTTTTTCTCCGAAGGATCAGATAGTAGATATTTTAGGCTTTGTGGGCCACATGGTCTTTGTCACAACTACTCAAACTGCCCTTTTAGTGCAAAAGTAGCCATGGACAGTGTACAAACAAATGGATGTGGCTGCGTTCGACAAAACTTTATTCTGGATGTTGAATGTCATTTTAATTGCTAGTAAGTTCCACTGAATTGAATGTCTCCAAAATGGCTTAGCAGTGAGTGTTGAGTTCCGGGGGACGGGGAGGCAGGCTGTGTTCTGTGCTGCGTGGAATCCATGCTGTCTTCAGAGATGTTTGGTGCCTGTTTAAAGACGATGCTCATTAGGATAGACCATTCCTTAGTAGTTTACAGGGAAAGAAGAGTAAAGTGCGTGCTCAGTCTTGCTCCCCCTCCTTCTGATGGTGGGCAGACACACAGGCCTGTGGCATTTCCCCTCTTTGTGTCTTATCTTGAAAAGCTGAGTCAGCTGCACTTTTTGGATCTTCAAAGACTGCGGGCTCAAGTGTTAATTGTTTTCTGTTTATGCTTCTTCATTTTATTTACATTTCCAGGAGTCCTTGGAGCGTAGGTTTTTTGGAACAGTTTCCATAACCATATAATTTCAAAGCAACGAACTTTAGGCAAGTGAGGAAGGTATTTCCACTCCCAGTGAATTTCTGTAAGTTTGGGTCAGCTGCCTCCTGTGACTAGGGCCAGATCGTGGAAGCTCAGCAGAGTGGAATCAAGTTGAACTTCACAGGTGGAGAGAACAGTGGCAATGACACTGCAAGGACAGCATGAGCGTCATGCTCTGAAAAGGCTCTGTGTGGCTTGCATGAAATGAGTGGCTGAAGGACTTGTTTTAGGAAAAGTGAGGAGAGGAGGAGAGGGCTGGAGGCCCCTGCCACTGGGTTTGGTCGGCTGAACGGTGGCCATTCTTCCTGAGATGATGTTTGCAAGCTCTGGGAAGGCCACCCACTGGAATCTGGCCACCCCTTCTTGGGTGAGGCTGTGGCCTGCCTGGGGTGCACTGGGAGGTGTTGGGACCAGGAAGAGCACCAGAACGTTAATCCATGTCCATTTTCCAGGCTACCCAAAGACTGTGAGAAGATCAGGAATCCTCCTGTAGTCACAGCCACTAGCACGGGACCCTTATGTGGACTCTCTCTTTTCCAGAGTGGTTGCTGGGGTTGACAGGGTGGCCTAGCCCACCCCTGCTCTGGCTGCTGAGCCTGACTGCAGAGCATGTAGTTGTGTTGGTGGCCCATCATCCGGGGTGTACCCTACACTCATAATTCTGTACAGCTCTTCCTCCCAGGCCACTTGGGAACTTTCTAATAAGTTCACCTCTGTTTTATCGTGAAGGAAATGGAGGCCAGGTAAGAATAGATGGGACCTGAGGTCAGCCAGCTGATGAGCAGGTGGCTTCAGTTAGAAGAGGTGGGGACCCCATTTTTAAGAGGGCAGCTTGCATTTACATGACTCCCGTGGTGAAGAGGCAAGTGTCGGATGTTGCTGCCTCTCTCTTTACGAAGGAGAGGCATCAAACTCTCTTGATTGATTGATTACAGAATTGCCCAGCTTTGTAATGTAGCCTCAGCTTGACTGAGTACAGCTGAGAGGGAATTAGTCCTGGCAAACATGCTGTGGAGACCATTTGGAAGTGAGTAAATAGACCAGATGTGATTGTGCATCATTATATTGATACAGATCTGAGGAAGGCACATGGTCCTAAGCAATTAACATTGCTGAAGAATTGATCATGAACAGCATAAATGTATCTGGAAGATACAAAGCACATATTTAGATTGTAAAAGGAACAATTGAGTGGGTGTTAAGGGGCATTCTAACAGGAATGGATGAAGAAGGCAAGGACAGTTGTACAGTTTGGTGGCATGGGAGAATTAAAGGCAAAATGTGAATTAGGCAATTCCAAGGCCTCTGGCCTTCTCCTTTGGAGGGATATCCATGCGGCCTCATAGTGGCTTCTCTTCACCCCCTTTGTCCTCTCTTGACTTCCATGCTCCTGATTGTCATTGTTCAGGGCTTCGCCCAACTGCGGCTCTCCAGGGCAGGGCTGGCACTTCTTAGGATGCCAGGAACAGTGGCTCCTGCACCAGGCCGCCCATGAGCATTACCTAGGGCACACAATTAGATTTCTTCACTTAGAAATTCTGTTTAGTTGACAACATTTTAAAACAAAAAGAATCCAGGTGCAGTGGTTTATGCCTGTAATCCCCAGGACTCTGGAGGCTGTGGCAGGAGGATTGCTTGAGCCCAGGAGTTTGAGGTTACAGTGAGCTATGATCGTGCTGCTGCACCCGGCAACAGAGCAAGACCCTGTCTCCAGAAAAGAAAAAAAACCTGACAAGATGGGATGATGATGAACTGAAGAAGTCATTTCTTTGATTGGCTGCATTCTTGGACTTATTTCCTGAACTCTGAAATGTTACAGCCACCTAATCTTGGATGTGTGTGATGGGAGATGTTTTTGCAGCCAGTGTTTCGGAGGGAACTGTGCAGAGTCACTGGTTAACTGGCCCCATGCACGCATGTATGCACAGGCCCACAGATGCACGGTCACGCTCTTGTTCCTTAGGAAATGAAACCTCATGGCCATTCAGGGCTGTGATCTTGAGCGAGTCATTTAACTCCTTTGAGCCTCCCCACCTGCAGCCGCACGAGGGGTAAATAACATCGGCCTTGCATGCCTGTTGATAGAATGGGAGAAGATAAAACCTGTGAGATCGTTTAGTGAGAGCCTGGCCCATTAAGGCATT